AGATAGTCCTAATTGTGTTGGACTGGATTACGCGTCAGACAGTGGGAAACGAGAAGACAGCGATATCCTCGACCACCGACGTGAAGAACCTAGAAGATCTGGATTTCGCGCGTGGATGACTTGTGTTTGATGTCACACAAAATCGAAGACTTACAAGCGAAAACCGACAAACTCGTCGAAGAAGCAGCCAGAGAAGACAGGACTCCAGGTGAACATAGACAAGACGGAGGTTATGAAAATAACCAACCAACCAACAACAACAACAACAGCAACATGCAGCGCCAATCGCCATCAACGGGGGGAATTTGAAAGTGGTTACTTCTTTCACTTCTCTAGGGAGCATTGTCTCAACGACAGGAAGAACGGAGGAGGATGTCAAATCGAGGATCAGGAAGGCGAGAAACACATTCATCAACCTGAAACCAATCTGGAAATCTTCGTCACTCAACTCAGCATCAACAACAAAATTCGGATTTTCGATACAAACGTCAAGTCAGTCGGTTCTTCTACACGGATCAGAAACTTGGCGGATCACAAAGAATATTTCCAACAGCCTGTTGCAGACCTTTATCAACAACTGTCTTCGCTGGCTCTATACTGAATATCAGATGGCCGGAAAGAACATGAACCAACAAGAAACTATGGGAAGAAACAGAACAAGAACCAATCGCCCAACAAATATGTAGGAGAAAGTGGAGATGGATTGGACACTCGCTGAGGAGGCCACTCACTGGGTGACATCGCGCGTCAGGTCAGTGCTCGAGTGGAACCCGAAAGGGAAGCGGCGAGTTGGTCGTCAGTGCAAGGGTGACATGGAGGAGATCGTGTGAAGAAGACTTGAAACAGTATGGACTAACATGGATGCAGGTGAAAAGTACAGCAGAAGACAGAAGCAAGTGGAGGCGTGCAGTTGAAGCCCTATGTTCCACTAGGAACCCAAGGGAACAATAATAATAATATATTTAATCTGATGGGGTTAATAAACTAATGGATGTGAATTAATGGATAACAACCAAGGTGATCATGCGTCGGTGGGAAAGCGTTTAGGACTCTCGCCGATCATGCATAAGGTCCGAAGTTCGCGCCCCTGCCGACGCACACCTGATATAAATGGTTGGCCTCTAAATTCGCGCTACCGATATCGCATGCTGAAAATTCCATACTTGCACCAAAAATACGGTGTAGAATCAAACTGTAATCAAAAATTTAAAAAATATAAGTATTAACAATGATAAAGTCATTCAAGTGTGTTTATATAATCTGGATAATGGTGAGTTTGTAGGTAGAATGTGTTTAGTACGGTGAGCAATATTGAGGTAAAACATCAGTCGAGTGCTACGTAAGGAATGGGAAGTTACATTGATTGAGGTGATTTGGATATGTTTAGACATGCCTGGGCAACGCCTTTCTCGACAATGGGCAATGTTAGCTGACTGACATAGGATGGATCAGGTTGGAAAAGAGCCAGCTAGTGGTGGTCAAACCAAAACGTGGCTTCGTCAGTCAATCATATCCATAGCAGTTACTTTGCGCCAGCCAGTCAGCCAACCACGTAGGCAAGTGGAGACTTCCTGACTGACTGGTTGGGTTCCTCGAGATGTTAGAAACCAATCATGGCTGAAGACAATTGGTGATATAGCTGGCTCAAAATCCTCGTTCTCAATGGCTGGTGCAGATGCACCAACTCCTTGTGATTTATAATATCCAAACAAGGCGCCATTAATCTTCCAAATTACTACTCTTTTTGCTTCATATCTCTGTTTATAATCTCTGTTTTGAGTCCCTCTTTACTCTCTTCTCTTGCCTTATGTGTTTCATGCAGGGAGTGTGGCAAATCGAACTAGTGCAGAGTTTTATATTGAAACCAGTCAGTCAGTATAGTAGTAGGTATAGAGGGAGAAATATTTTTTTTCTACAGTTGGTTTGTAAGGATTAGTTATGTTTTTTTACGAGTTGATCACGGGTTGATATCAGTTGGAGTACCACTGAAAACCAGGGAGTACTGGACAGCTGTTTCATCCTAGTTTTGGGAATCATCGGCAGTATGCACCCACCACCAGGGTTCGAACCCAGGACTTCCTGGTTACAAGGGTAGGTCGTATACCATTCAGCCACTGGGATCCGATTCAGTGGCCAGCTCATGAATTCTAACTTCTACCAATTCGTGATTTAGCGCGAGCACCGAACAATGTCATCGGCGGGACATCCATCCTCACACGTGACATCTCGATGGACCTCAGTGGTCACAATTTCCCACTAGATCTCCAGGAAACTCCGTCCTGTAGCAAGTCACTAGCGAGCGTCGGACTAATTTTCAATAGTTGGTTTGTAAGGATTAGATTTGTTTTGACGAGTTGGGGCGTACTGTTGATGATTCCCAAACTAGGATGAAACAGCTGTCCAGTACTCCCTGTGGCTGGTTTTCAATAGTTCTCTAACTGATACCAATCCGTGATCAACTCGTAAAAAGAAATAATTATTGTCACATAGCGATAAGATAATGTAACAATAGGAATGGATTGAGAAACCGAGATTAAAATGTACAACTATAGCACAGAATGATATTGATAATACAGTTAGCAGTACAAATAATAATAGAACGAGATAATATTTACAGTTAACCAGTGTCACTGGGAGAGATAACTATCCTAGGCTGGGAGTGAAGGGAGAGAAGTTGAACAAACTTTTTCTGAACACGGAGATTGGGTTGAAAAATGTTTATGGCAACTGCCTCAGACATGCCTAGCAACCCAAGACGTACCAACCTAGAGAGTTCCGTAGCACCTTGTATAGAAATGTGAAAGCTGAATTTTTGTCAATCTTATGCTCTTTATTCACCGCAAAGTGTGCCAGTTTGGAACTTCTGATTGTCTTTACGATTCCTCTACCTAACCATGCTGGGCTATGCTTCAAAAGGCGATGGTGTGCTTGCTGAGCCGTTCTATCTATGTAACTGTCTCCACAAGAACACTAAATTTATAAATGTATCAATATGCGCATACAATGGTAACGATAATAATACTAGTAGTGGTCACTTTATTCCAAACAACAATAACAATCATATAAAATGGAACTTCCAGTGCCATGTAATCAAGTGAAAGAGAGAACATCCAGTAACAAAGACAAGGAAAGGCTCATAAGCACTTCTTTCTAACCTCATAAATTGGGTTTCAGGCGCTTGATGGAGATAGCTTCGGCAAACTTGAGGAGAATGGAAGTCTTTTACCTACTGATATTTTTGAATGATTTTGTGATGCCCACCTCAACATCCGTGTCAAGGAGATACCTGACTATGGCACTGTAGTAGAAAGTGTTTGCTCCCTTGTGACATAGGCTTTTTGGTACATGTTCAGAAAATCGGCGATATGCCCTTCTTTCTGTTCTCTCAATGCAACTGCTCCCACAGATACATGTAAACTTGTATACACCGTTGGAGTTGATTTTTGATTGCACCAAAGAGGATGTTATCCGATAGACGGGGACCAACTTAATCTCAGGATAGGCTCTGCCTAGTGACGTCCTCAATATTCTGTTGACAATTGCTGGAATATTATCACTTTTAAAACCGAGTTGAACGAAGATAGGCTTTTTCCCCCTACTGTGATTTATTTCACATTTGAGTCTTTGCATCTTCCGTGCATGTTATTGAATCTTCATATCTTATCGAGAATGAGAAATTCTTCCTCTAATTTCTCTGTAGACCTTATTCTCCTGACTCTATGGGACAGAGTTTTTACTGCTGCTCGTTTAAAGCCATTTGAATAAAAACTTTTAACATGCAGGTATTGTTCACTTCATGTCGGTTTTCTGTAAACTGATCTCTGGGGACTGCAATCTACATTTATTTTCATTCTGTCTTTCATCTGATTACGTAACACTGGAAGTTCCATCCTGTATGATTGTTATTATTGTTTGGAATAAAGTGACCACTACTAGTATTGTAACAACAGAAGACAAGGGCCAGGCAACAGGTCGTTTATTAAGGAAATCAAAGCATATTTATATATTTTCATATACATTATTATAGTTTAGTTAAGCAAACAAACACAGTCTCCCGATTGGTTGTTTCTCACTTCAAGTTAATCTTTCATCTCTTTGTGACTGTTTCTTGAATGTCACATCATCTATATGTTAACTGTATCCGCCTAAGCAAAGTCTGCTGTGGTCGGTTTTGAATCAGTCTTTGTTCATATTTTTTCACGACCGATCTTGAGAACGTAAACATTGACGTAAATAACTGTCTACCAATTTGGCTAGTAGACACCTCTCACCACAGTATTATTATTAACATTGTATGCGTCAGTGGCACAGCGGTTAAGACGCTCACTGATCATGCATATGGTCTAGGGTTCAATCCGCGACCGACTTGCACTTGGTATCAATGGTCGGCCTGGTAAATTTGCACTACTGATATCACATGCTGAAAATTCCACACTTGTACCAAAATACGGTGTGAAATCAAGTTATAATAAAAAATATTAAAATATTAATATTGTTTAAACTTGAAATCCATGGATAAATGTGTTGATACTGTTGCTGTACATCAACTTACTGACACTATCTATGTGCTGCAAGCAGCTGATACGAAGCCAATGAAATCAGCAATGACTATAGCATTTTATTTAGTGCGTCGGTGACATAGTGGTTAGGACGCTTGTCGACCATGCACTTGCTCCGGGATTCGATCCTCGGCCACCGACGCACTCCCAAACCTCGCTAAGCCACAAATATTGCTGGTGAAGAGGAAAGGTTGGACATGAGGCTAGCAAACCCATCCTGTAAAAATAAACACTGCTACAGAGACTTCAAGCCACTAGCTTGAATCCCTATGTTCCACTGGGGAACGTGAACAACAAACCATTGTTGTTCTTGCCTGTATTGAACTTCATAAAGGGGAATTAATGTGTAGCGTTTTTGCATCAATCATGACACCGAGTCCTTGCTAACACTCTAATACACAGTCTTCTCTTTTGTTTTTCATCGTCTCTATACCCTTTTAGCCTATCCACAAGCCTCATTATCATTTTGTCAATGATTCAGTCCATATAGCAATGTTATTAGCTGGCGGTATAGACAACTGCTATCAAGCTGAGACACAGATTAAATCTCTTCTATTCAATCAACGTAGATGGTATCAATCAAAGGATAATTGTTGTAAATTTGCACATTTCCCTCATTTCAATACAGATTGGTTAAGCTTGATTGAAGCTGCCCAGTATCAGTTGAATAATTATGAAAGATTAACACTTGTCTTTCATTTTATTGTTGATGAAAAATCGTATGAATTTATGAAAGAATTAATGCTGGATTGGAATTTAGATGGGATAGATGTAAAATATTATGATGTCAATAAATATGAGGTAAGTCAAGCAAGCTATTGTTGATCCTTTGTTTCTATGTTACTGTTAATATTTTTTAATCCTACAAATTTCTATTGCTGTCGATTCTTTCAGCTGACTTCACAACATCCCGCATGAATTTCATTCACCTCCCCCCGTGAACATGGTCTTCCTTGTGTCATTCCTGAATATCTAACTGGTCACTTAACATTCGCGCCACAGTCGATCGATCTGTCTGTCTATCTGTCTGTCTATGTGCTTTCAACATAGAACTTTGCATAGATGTGAAGCAGTTCAAGTGGCCACATTACATTCCCTTCATTTAGTACACAAAGCAAGAGAAGAAAGTAATAAGAAATGTAAAATAGATACAGTAAACAGGGATATGAAACAAAATGAATAGTAATAACGAAGAACAATGTAGTTTCACTGGGTATTATAAGTCACAAGGAGTGGATGCATCTGCGCTAGTTATTGAGAATGAGGATTTTGAGCCAGCCATGTCACCAACTGTCTCCAGCCATGTTTGGTTTCTACCTTCTCGAGGACCCCAACCAGGTAGTTAGGCAGTCTACACCTTCCTACTTGGCTTAAACTAAAACTAAGGAACTTAGACAATGTGGAATCACCCAACCACTGCTTTCACAATCTGTCAACTCTTGTATCTTACCTATTATACTTTACTGCTCCCCGTTAGTCTTTCCTGGTCTACTGAAAAAGCACTATACCATCCTGAGAAGAATGTTGAAGGTAGTCAGTAGGACTAGTGGTGTAAAACTCAGTCAGCTCGTCACTACTTTAGTTGAAAGGCATCTGAATACATGCGAAAGATGGTCAAAAACCATACTCTCAGACCCCCAACACCCCCTCTATTCCCAACTCTCTCCTTGTATCTCATCAAGAAAAACCAGAAATCAGTATAAAATAATCTATGCTCGTACAACTAAATACAGGAACTCAAAGATACCATACTTGGACCGTGTTCTAAGCGACAGAGACAATGTTAAGCGTGAAACCTACGACTTGCTTTGTTATTAACAACATAATTTTAGGCTCTTTTATTTCTCTCTTATTTTGTATTCTATAGTGAACTCCTTCTCAAACATACTTAGCTACCTAAATTATTAACATTGGCTTCCTTTTTTGTACTTTACTATATACCTTCTATTGTGTATCCACTGGTTCCTACTCTATTAGCACTATGAGTATTACAAAATTGTCGTGTCATTAACCATCATGTAATTATTTGTTTTGTGGTTGTTTTTTCTTATTTTTTATTTTTTTCGGCAATATTAAACTGACAATCATTGGTTGTGAACGCCATTATCACCACCTTAAAAATTTTGCATTATGCATTACTTACACTACTACTACAAACACCGCATTAGACTTGATAAAAAAAACAACCCTGAAATGTTATTTTATGATTGTTTAGAGTTGTTTCAACCAAATTAACGGTTCATCTTGGCGATAAACATTCTTAAATATCATTTCATAACTCCTTGTATGAGTATAGCTTTACTGTCACCCCGTATAAACATATCATAGCTTCCGCTCCCCAATACTGAGTTATTATTATATGCTGTTTATTTTCCTTTCTACTTCTTGGTACTTTTTCTCATTTATAATTATAATTATTTTGTGTTTATCCTTTTTTTGCTGTTGGTGTCTTTAGATTTATTTATTTATTTTTGTTTATTTAATACTTCTTTTAAATGTTTGTAAAATTAGATGCAAATATTGTAGATATGTGCTGAAAATTCCACACTGTACCACTAGTACTGTTTCTGGAATAAAGCAAATTATTATTATTATGTTGTGGATTTCATTAACTGATGAAGCCATGTTTAGTTTGACCGCCGCTAGATTTTTCCAGCCTGAACCTATGGACGCTAACATTGCCCGTCGAGTAAGGTGATGGATGGCTAGAGATGCATACGGAACACATATCGTAACCATCTCAATCGAGGTAGCTTCACGGCATTGGCTATTGATTCTCCCTCCTTACCTAGCACTTACTTGACACATAACCTCAATATTGGTCACCCTATTATACCACTTTACATGCGAGATAGAACGCAGGCACCTATGACCAAAGACAGCTGGCCAACCTTTTCATGTCTTCCATTCTCACTGGCCAGGTCTTACAGCCATAAAGGAGGAAGGAGCGGACTTCTGAGCAGTACACCCGTCCTTTGGTCGACAGCCAGCCAGCCGGATATCACGTCTAAGCAAATTGTAATGAATAAGAAGATGTAATCATATAAAGCAAATAGGGATTAAAAGTGCAATAACTAGAAAAATGAACACGAAATTCTGATATAAAACATAATCGGATAATAATGATTGAGGAAGTTGACCGTTTGTGATAGTCATTTGGTAAGACAAAGGTTGGGCGTACTTCTTCTGGATCTACAGCAACGGATTAAATTTTTGGGTCACTAATGCTTTAGCTGTACCTAGTTGTTTCCATTTCACTCCCTTTGTGAAGTTTAGTGAGTACTTAGGTGGCATAATTGGCTAAGTATTGGTGAAGTTAGGCGCGAGTGCTAGGTTAGCATAGAAAATCAATCGTCGGGCTTGTAAAGTTACTTCGATTGAGGTGATTGGGATAGTTTCACGCATACCTAGCTAATGTCTGCCTCGAAGGGCAATATTAGCTGATTGACATTGGATGGATCAGGTTGAAAAAGAGCTAGCTAGTGGTGGTCAAACCAAAACGTTGCTTCGTCAGTCAATTAAATCCAATGCAGTTAGTTTAAGCTAGCCAGCCAGTCACGTAGGGAGGTGAAGATTTCCTTACTGGTTGCGATCGTCGGGATGGTAGAAACCAATCATGGCTGGAGACAATTGACGACATGACTCAAAATCTTCGTTCCCAATGGCTGGTGCAGATGCGCCAACTCCTTGTGATTTATAATATCCCATAGGGTTCTATTGTTCTTACATATTACTATTCTTTTTCTCTCACTCCCATTTCTATTTATTATCTCTCTCCTATTTGAATCTCTACTTATTCTCTTCTCTTGCTTTGTGTGTCACATAGAGAGAGAGTTGCAACTGGAACTGGTGCACATCTGTGGAAATTTCTGTGTTGAAACCATTGAGTCAGATCTTATTTTGGACTTTGAGGAATTTTTCAAGTAGAACTGGGTGACCCTAGTTCCTCAGATGTTCTATTTCCGAACTATAAACACATCTAATTTCTTCTATTTGCTAACTAGACTAGATAGTATCATTGGGCACATTTTGCAAGGGAACGCATCGTACAGTGAAAGGAATCAGCGCGGGGGGGGGGAGCAAGTTAACTGGTATATACGCAAGCTGAAAATTTTTAACGAAGAACCTGCGCTTCAGTGTGACCTCTAATTTCGAGATTCAATACCTGAATCGTTTTTGGGGCGGGAGGTGTTACTCTGAGTCTAATATATTTATAAGATATCCACTCTGGGTAATTGATTCCAGTCGTGAGGACACAAAAGGGAATTGTTCAGAAGGTTGGGAAATCAGGGGCTCAGCAGCGAATATACACCTGATAACCAACTGAAACTTTCCAGGTGTCTACTGTATGAATTAATCCCTCTTGAATAGTATTAGTAATGCTATTATTTTGATGAAGGCATCCTTCGTTTCTACAATAGTTTTCTTGTGAAATTATAGCTTATTAATGTACTGTATTATATAATATCTTTGTTACAAACGGGTGAGTAAATTAAGTATATTATTTCCTATTTTTAAAACAACGCCATTTTCTTTCAATTGTTCAATGTCATATTAAATAAACAAGAAGGTTGAAATCAATCAATACATTGTCCTTATTAATGGTTATTATTATTATTATTGTTATTCCTACTTGATAATTATATCCTTTATTAAATAGTGCACACAAAACTAATGCTAGATTAAACTTTTCATTGAGTTCTACTCTAACCAGCTAGGTGCCTTGCGCTACATTTCTAACAAACAACTGTATTGTTTCACTGGGTGATATTGATTAGAATGTTTGGGCTAGTTTTATAAAGAGGTCAGTTGAAAATAAGCCTTGCTTGAGGTGAATTCCGTTCGATTGTTGAAATTTGTCTGTATGGTGTGTATGTTAACTGGCTAGCTAACTAAATAGTCAGCTGAGATGAGATGGTTTCAGAAAACTTTCTACCTGTGGAAATCGAAATTATTCAGATCGAAATTCACGTGATCTGTTTGATTATCGGGAATGATAATCGAGAAAGTGGGCGAACATAAATACATGACTCTATATACTACTGACTAATTGAGGTGAGTAGTAGTAGTGGTTGTATATCCTCACTAACATCAACAATCACCAGTACTTGTTAGCCAGATTATCAAAGTGATCTAATCAGCGGACACCACTTAGGACCGAGCTGACAGACTGGTGTACACAGTTAGACTCAGCTCAGACAACTAAATCAGCTCAACCCGCCATCCACCCTCCGATTTCTGGTTAACTGCTTGAGCAAACTGGTAATGCCATACAAATCTGATCTCAGGCCATCGATAAAATGCGGTTTTCTGCAACTATACCCCCTCTGTTGATTACCACTCATTGTTTGCAAACAAGTCACATATTCTGATGTGAATAGTTTCCGTTTTGAAAAGTCATTGTGGTGAGATCTCACCTCCAACTGTGTAAATTGCAAAAAAATTGATTTGCAAATTTCGAATTTGATTTAACGTGTTACCAGTTCTCTGAAGTAGCTGATGAGAAACCTGGTGGCTTGAACAAATTCAATTCTTTGAGGTGAGCCAAATGTGGTACACCTCTGGTCTGCTAGGCCACAGATGGGCGAAATGGTCCTCCAGTGTTCAAATCACTTTGATAATCTGACCAGCTATCAAGTATACCTGGTTGATTCCATTGTGAAGAAAATTTATTTAGATAAAGTGTCACAGCGTTGTTATACAGTAATATTTACCGATGACCGCGTTTTGAGCACAATTTATCCCTGGTGATAATTATATCAAGTTACTCACACAAATTTCTAGCTTCTTTTATATAAGAA